CAATGCCTCATCTGTTCTATTCTCCCAGCTCAGGTCTAGCCTTATAGCCCCAAAAGACTGCTAAAGTTTCCACTTGAATTTCTCATTGCTCCATCAAAACCAAACTTACATTTCTTCAGAAATCCTCTCCATGTCCCTGTGTGTCAATATTGCCACACTGGGCCCAGGCCTTTGGATTAGCATGTTGCTCTTACCTCTGACTCATCCCTTTTGTTCCTTTCTTAACCACAAGTTCCTTTTGATTTTTCCCCCCTAATGGGGACTTACTGTTACCTGCCCTTCTAGGTCAGAGCCTTGTTCTCTAGCAACTACATAGCCCTCCCTTATCCAAGGTTTTGCTTTCTGCATCTTCAGTCATCTGAGGTCAATTGTGGTCCAAAAATATTAAATGGAAAATTCCATAAATAGAAAGTTAATGTTTTAAATTGCACACCATTCAGAGTAGCATGATGAAATCTCCCGAGCACTGCTCCATCTCCATGCTGTAGATGCTCCCCACCCATCAATCACGTAGTAGCCATATTGGTTATCAGATTGACTGTTGAGGTTTTACAGTGCTTGTGTTTGAATAACCTTTATTTTGCTTGAAAAAAGGCCCCAAAGTGCAAGAGTAGTGATACTGGCCATTCGGGTATGCCAAGAGGCCTTAAAGTGCTTCCTTTAAGTGAAAAACTGAAAGGTCTCTACTTAATAAGAAAAAGAGTTGTATACTGAGATTGCTAAAATCTACAGTAAGAACAAATCTTCTATCCATGAAGAAGGAAAAAGAAATTTGTGACAGTTTTGCTGTCGTACCTCAAACCACAAAATAATGACCACAGTGCATGTGTAAGTGCTTAGCTAAGATGGGAAAGGCATTAAATAAAGTTGTGGGTGGAAGACGTGAATGGAAATGTGTTATGATTAATGGCAATGTGTCGCACCAGAAGGCATTTATGTATACGAGGTATGATCAAACAATACGGTGACTGTATATACATATATATATATTACAGTAAAAGACATATTGCCATTAATCCCCCTCAAAATACTCCCCCTCTCCTTGAACACACTTATCCCATCGTTCTTGCCACTTTCTGAAGCAGTTCTGGAAGTCCTCTTTCGTGAGTGTCTTTAGTTGCGCTGTTGTGACGGCCTCAATGTCCCAAATCTATTCAAAATATTTACCTTTCTTGGTCATTTTGACTTTGGGGAAGAGCCAGAAGTCGCACGTGAATGAGGTAGATAATGACACAGTGTAATGTTTATATTTGACAGAAATTGCCATGTACCAGAAGCAATGTGTGACACGGAGCCTTTCCTGTTGTGATCACAAAATACCGTGAATGCTGTGGCCGAGAGCCAACCAGCAAAAAGGCAGGGATCTTCAATATGGGAAGCGGTGCATCAAACCTTAGTAACTGTGTGTGACAAGTTTCAGCTTGTTCAGTGCAGTCAGTCGGGTGTGAACTACGGTTGAGAAAAGGTGTGTTTTAAAGTGTGCTGTAAATCATCCTCCAGCATGATAACGTTCTGTGTCACACATCGCTTCTGGTATATGGAAATTTTTGTCAAATAAAAACATTACGGTGTGTCCTCATCCACCTTATTCACCGGACCTGGAACCATGTGACTTCTGCCTTTTCCCCAAAGTCAAAATGATTCAGGACATGGAGGCAGCCATGACAGCGCAATTAAAGACACTCATGAAAGAGGACTTCCAGAACTGCTTCAGAAAGTGGCAAGAATAATGGGATAAGTGTGTTCGAAGTGAGGGGGAATATTTTCAGGGGGATTAATGGTAATGTGTCTTCTACTGTAACAATTTATTATTATTATTATTATTATTATTATTATTATTATTATTATTATTTAAACAGTCACCATAGTAATTGATCACACCTCATATGCAAAGACCTCAGCAGAGAATCTCCTGAAACAAGTGACCACATTCACATAACTTTTATCACTATATATTGTTATAATTGCTCTATTTCATTGTTATTGTTGTTAATCTCTTACTGTGCCTAATTTATAAATTAAACTATGTCACAGTACGTATGTATAGAAAAAAACATAGTACTATAGAGCTGGATACTATCCACTGTTTCAGGCATCTCCTGGGGGAAGTGGAATGTATCCCCTGCAGAGAAGGGGGTCTACTGTACCTGCTAGGAGACATTCCTACTGCTGGTGCTTTTCCTCCAGTTCATTTTTCGTAGCATCAACAGACTAATATTTCCTTCAACAAGCCTTTTACCTTTTCCAGAGGTTTCCTCTTTCTACCTATATCAAATGTAGTTACTTTTGCCTGGCTTTCACGTATTTCCATAGTTTGCCTTTAAAGCCTGTAGCCTCCCATATGTCCCACTTGGGCCCACTTGGACTCTGCTCGAGACATACCTTGTATTCACCACGCTAGCCCTGTAGCTATCCCTGCCTGCCATCAACCATTCACACTCAGCACTTAATATTCCTTTGTGCATCGTTTATACTTATGTGGTATGCATTGACTTTGTTTTTCAGATAGACAAAGGCAGGAATTTTTCTTTAAACATTTTTAAATTATATGTGAATCAAACATAGCAACTGGAACAATAACAATATAATATGAAATAAAATAAAAATAAACAAAATGAAATAAAACTATTGATATTACCCTTGAAAGAGACCAAAAAGAAATATGCTATCCAATCCTCCTAGTTTACAAATGAGAAATCTGTATACCTCAGATAGATATTTTAAAATTTAATTGTTATATATTTAGATTTATGGTTACTTTCTAGCCATGGAAAATGGTATCTAGTTGCTATTTATATTATTGATATAAACTTTTAGAACAGATTTGCTTTAGATTAAAAATATTAATTTAGAGAAATATTAAGTATATAACAGTTCTTGAGATAAGAAATATGGCAAAAACTGTGACAGCAATACTCAAGTGATAGAAGTGTTGAAATTACTGTATTTGTTTCGAGTCTGTGCTTAATAAATGATTGTTGACTGACAGGTTGATAGCTCACATCAGTCTCCCTAGCAAACAGCCTTTACTCATTTACTAAAAGCCCTTTATGACAAAATGAGCAGACAAGTAATTTTCATGGCTGCATTTGCAGCACAAGGTCAAGGGAAGAGAAAAGGGACAACTGGAAAAACTATTATTGGCACCTAGGAAGTTGACTTTAACTGAGCTGGCTGGAAGTGATATAACTCCAGAGCCAGTAATCTGGTCTGCAGGTCAGGTGTGTGACATCCTTCAGCCATTTTTGCTCTTCCTAGGACTCTCTCTCCCACACAAAGTTTCACTGGGTAAACACCACACATTAACACAGAATAAGTGGGGGGGGAGGAAAAGTTTCCAAGTGAACAAGAACATTTGTAAAAGGGAGAAAAGATTTTAGATTTCACATGTTGACTCTTTGTTCATCCTCCTCTTATTTTGGAAAGTTTCAGAGCCACCCTCAGCAGCCCAAACTTTCAGTGGTTTCCACCAGCAATTTAGGCCTCCCTGACCAGGCTCACTGAATTATAGGCCCAAAGTAAACTCTCTGCAGAAAAACACAAATAGACTGTGGCTGGAGATCTGCTTATGAAGGGGCCTAAAAAGCCAAACTCTAAAGTGTGAAAAACTCTGGGTATTCGGAGAAATGAAAATGGATCCACTGTGCAATGTAGTTCTAATAGAAACTACCTAGAGTTAAGCAAGTCAGATTTCACAAGTTAAAGGCCACAGTCCTTACCAGACTGCTCTTCAGACATCAGCTACAAGTTTGGGGGTTCCCAGGCTATCCACGCTTCTGACAAATTCAAGGTTCCCCTCAGGTTGAAAAATTTGCTAGAACAACTCACAGAACGTAACAAAGCTCTGTAGTTACAATTACCGTGTTTTATAAAGGGTACAAATCAAGACTAGCCAAATAGACACATAGGGCATGCAAGATCTGGGAGGGTCTCAAGCATGAAACTTTCCTTTTCTCAAGAAAGGTCACTCTCCCATCACATCAATGTGTATCAGCAACCAGGATGCTTACTCAAGCCCCAGTAACCAGAGTTTTTATTGGGGTTTCAATCTGCAGGCAGGATTGATTGAATCACTGGCAATATGATTGGACTCAATCTCCAATGCCCCTTCTCTCCAGGGATGTTGGGAGGTCAGGCAGATATCAGGGCTCAGAGCCCTCACCCTTTAACCACATGGTCTTTCTGTTGTAGCCAGCACCCATCCTGAAACAGCCTGGAGGCCCACAGTAAATCACCTTATTAGCATAAATTCAGGTGTGGTCCCAAAGGCTTACCATAAATAACAAGAGCACTTCTGTCACTTGGAAAATTCTAAGGGTTTAGAGGTTCCCTCTCAGGAACCCAGGACAAAGACCAAACAAACTCTTTATTCTCTAACACACAGAAAATAGAATATGAATTGGACCTATTTTATGCCAACAAAAACCAAGGCAAAAAATCATGATTTCTATGATGGAAAAACTACTGGAAAATGTCATTTGAATATAAAATATATGGTCATTAAACACCATTAAATTCTTTTAATTCATTTTTCACTCATTTGTTCATTCATTCAGCAATATTTATTGAGTACGTACCTCCTGTGCTAATCACCGAAGATATACTATTATACTGTCAGTGTAAAAAAAATTGTTTATTATATTACATTGAAAAGAGGAAGGATGAACTATTTGAAATGATTTGCTTATTTTAATTCCAATCAAAATGAACCTGAGTTATGAGATATTTGTTAATTTTTGCTTATCAAAAATGATGTTAAGACAGCCTCCAAAATACAAAGTCTTAGGCATCAAGACTAAATTTGTGAAGAATTGGGGAAGGTAGGAGACAATAGAAGAAATATATATGTTGTTTCTTTAACCAGAAGGCTACCATTTGGCCCTATGTTTTTTAAAGAAAATCAAGAAGTGATTTGAAATGCGATGTTTTAAACTGTTCTTTTTTTACTTTCCTGTAATTGGAGCAACATACTAATTTCTACAAGTTGTGACTACTAACAGAGAGCAATCACCTCACAGACTTGTACCGAAGAGAAGAAACCATCCAGGTGACAGGAAATGGCCACGTGCAGAGTCCCCGCTTCCCAAACAGCTACCCCAGGAACCTGCTCCTGACGTGGCGGCTCCATTCGCAGGAGAAAACAAGGATACAGTTAGCCTTTGACAATCAGTTTGGATTAGAGGAAGCAGAAAATGATATCTGTAGGTAAGTGGAGAAGAAAACTCATTTTAGAGTCCTCTTCCAAGGTAAAAATAAGAGGAATTTTAAAACTTCCCTCTGGGGGCCCGTTGGACCTACTCAAAATGCACCACTTGTTTTTCAAAAATCCTTCCCGTCAGTCCTAGTAGGCAACATAAATTGGAGCCTAGAGGGCTGCAGCAGGGGCCTTGGAACCTGGCTGACTAACAGAAACTCCCTTTCATACCTGTCAGAGCCAGGCTGAGTGACCCCCAGAGGAGGAGAGAATCTGGAGGCCCCTGCCTTGGCCAGGCCGAGAACAGCATTTGTGAGCTGATGACTACATCCCATAATCCCAGGTCACCTGCAGCCAAGTCTTGTGGCTCTGGTCCCAGACCGCCACGGGCTTAAAGAGCAGCCACCCTGCGTGGCTCCAGGATCTGACCCAGGCCGCTGTCACCCATGCACAGTGATGGTCCCCCAGCACTGGGAGAGCGGGAAAGCGAGGACCAGCCATGTCAGGGCCTTCCCCCGAAATCATAGTTTTAAGGCCTTAGATATGTATAAGAAGGAAGGGATGGCAACTCCAGGGTCTGTGTGCTCCTCAGATGGTTGGTTTCGTGTAGTTTTTGAGTCAGCATTAGAGGAAAACCATGCCTGATAATCTTCCTTTTTAGCATATTAATCAGAAAAAGCCCTAGCTGTTGCTCTTTTAATTGTTCACAGCATCTTATTCACTTAATTAGCATGTAGAAGACTTGAGGACTTAACTGCACACACTTGGTACTTACCTGCACACACTTGGTCTGCAGTGCACGTGAACTACTTGAACTGCTGATTCCTTCCTGCAGGTTTATTTTCCTGTGAATAATAAAATAAAGAGGATGCCTCAAATTTGGCCATCCTTTGTTGCATGTTTATTATGCTGACAGCTTTTATTGTGTTGTTATTTTTTCGAGAATAATAGCAGTGACTATTATTTTCTAGGACCATTGAGGGAAGGTTATGCCAGAAAACAGATGAATACATGGAGGAAGAGCCAGTCACTATTTATAACGAGAATAAACAAGAGTAGCTCTTGTGTCTTTTCAACCTTGAAACGGAGAACTAATTTTCTTTGTGGAAGAAAAAAAAAAAAAAGAAATAGTGGAAGAAAACAAAACACAACACTATTAAAAGATTGATAAAGATGATGACATGAAAGGGAAGCCAGGTCTCCAGTACTGAACAGGGGTTTTGATTCGGGTAGTGAGTGAGCCCTTCCGGCATCCTGGCCTTGAAAATAGATGAGGACGTTAGGATGGGCTTGTTTGTTTTTTTCTAACCCTACAGAAAATCTAGTTGCTTCTCAAAATGTATGGAGGGAGGTAGAGGAATAAGAGGTGGCACAGGGAAAAGAAAAAGGGAAGGACGCAGATCAGAGAATTGCCTCAGAACTCTCCCTAAGAAGCACAGTGGTGCTCTCTTGACGTCACATCCAGAGGAAAATTTACACTGATGCTGTGATTTTAAAAAACAAAAATGACCTATTGTGAGGGCCGGCCGAGTGGCTCAGTTGGTTAAGAGCTCGCTCAAGAGTTTGAGCTCTGAGCAACAGCGGTTCGATGCCCAGCCCGAGCTGAGCAGCCGCTGAGCTGCCAACAGGTGGCAGGATGACTCAGCTTTAAAACAAAACGAAACAAAAAAAAAATGACCTATTGTGTTATTAACAGTTTCAAGTATACTCCCGCTTTGTGCAGTAAATATAATTTACACGCATTGTATACAAAATGAAATGCAACTGATTTCCTACCATCTGTTCCAAAGCCTCCTTGATGTTTACACTGTAATATTTTATTGCTTCAGTAATGATTCTTTGTTAGTGCTTTTTAACTTCCAAGCACCATATAAACATTAAGTAATTAATTTGTACAGCACCCAAGAGATAGCCAGCTAGTAAAATTGTATAAACCTCCTTTTTCGGCTCATAAGGAAACTGAGGCAAAGGACATAAGGGCCTCATAAATCACTGTCAAAATTTAGTCACAATATTGTTATGGTCACCCATTCTTTAGATTACTGTGCCCAATACAGTAAGAGCTCTAAGGTGCCTGGGTAGCACAAGTAAAGTCATATTGGATTTTCTTCGTATTCAGATGTGACATTTCTCATGCTGATTTATTTTGGCAGTTGTGACAGAAAAATATAAAATGGATGTGAGACTACTGCCACTGTTCAACTTGAATGCTCCTCATTTGCATTGTGACTTTAGCATCTGAAGTCATTTGGGAAAGGTAGAATGGAAGAGTGAGACACTGATGTCCAGACCTGAAAGCCAGATAGTTCAGTTCATCTAGTAGAATGTCTCAAGATCTTGGGTGTCTGAAAACAGAGTAAATGGTCCCTAGATGTTGACTTCGTCATTGAGGATGTCTTACTGTGTGATGGAAAGGTGGGATGGTATGGATCAACCTCAAGGATAGAATGTTTATATAGAATATCTAAAGAGGTCTTTCCTGTCCTCTTTAATCCAGGCATTCTGGATTCTCTGACCAGTGCCAAAGGTGAACCTATGGTCTTTAGCTCATGCACACCCTAGTTTAACCACATCAGATATTTCAAGTATTGGTTAGCACACCTCCCTCCCCAAGTCATGCTGTTCATTATTACAAAAGTCATATTTGTGATATTATTTATCCATAAGACAGTTTTCAAAAAAAGTTAACTATTTTATTTTACCATTTATTTTGTGTAATGAGAGTGCTGATTCTATATCCTGTATAGATACAGATCATTTCTTTTTTAAGAAAGCCCTGAATGTGGTAATTAATTCAAAGTGGAATTGGTTTGAAAAACTTAATATAGTAAATATTTGGACATATTATATATAATTACAGCTACATCTCCTAAGATATGATAGATTACAGTTATTAGGTCTTCCAGGAAAGCCTGATAAACTAGAGGCTCAGAAAATAGCCCGTTTTGATTTTGATGATTTGGGAACAGTCATGGCTAATTGTGTCTAAGGCTTCTTTTAGAATAGATTGTTGAAGTTTGAATTTGGAAAAACTAATCCAAAAGCTAGCTTTCCTTTTAAAGTGTCTGTAGGTTACATTTTCATTTCATTTGGTAAGTCATAAGAAATCATGTATGTTAGTCTTAATTTCTCAGTGAAAGTATGAATTTCAAAGTCTAAGCAAATTTTGTTTACTTATGTCACATTGATGCTAGGTATGATTTTGTGGAAGTTGAAGATATATCTGAAACTAGTACCATTATTAGAGGACGGTGGTGCGGACACAAGGAAGTTCCTCCAAGGATAACATCAAGAACAAACCAAATTAAAATAACATTCAAGTCTGATGATTACTTTGTGGCTAAACCTGGATTCAAGATTTATTATTCTTTTGTGGTAAGTAACTTAACCACCCTATGATTAAAAGAAGATACTGGTTTCATGAAATATAGAGATCATATTCTATGATTAAATATAGTGGTATGAAGGTGAATGCACTTTATTAATCCCCTTTGGTATACTCTGTTCCTACCTGTGGCCAAAATAATAAAGGCTTCTTTAGTAAGTGGTACCATTTTGGATCTATTAAGTCAACCTTTGGGCCCAGACATTTTGAAGGAATGCATAGAAAATAGAAAAAGTAAAATAGTTTATAGTAAAGCAGATACCATATTATCTTTGATTCAGCTGAAGCAAGACAAATGTATAACCAAGAAGAAAGTATGTGAGAGTTGAACTTCTTTGGTTTCGAAAAGTTGCCTGTGTAATTCCAGTCACAGGAAGGAGTCCCAATTATTTTAACTATCACCCAAATTTTGGAAGAGTCTATGTTATAATCATAGAGCCTCAGGGATAGAAAGCATCTTAAAGATCATAAGGTATAATTCAGCATTGAAGACTTTGATTCTTGTGTACTACACCCATGCTTATCTGTGGCATCACCTCTACTCAAACACCTCAGTACCCATTTCCAACTTTAAATAGTTCTAACTGTTAGAAAATGATCTACCTCTTTTTGAGCCAAAATTGACATTGTATTGTAATCTCAATCCTGTAAATAGTTAATTCTACTTGTTGGACCACATGCAATCATGGTCACTTCTTGAGTTAATGAATCATTATAAAACAATATAAAGTTCCTGCTCGTTGTCATACACACTTATAGGTGTAATAGATTTAAAGGTAAGTAAGACAGACAGGATTTTTGATCTCCTGGATCATGTTGTCTGATAGAGATAACAAACAATTAGAAAGCAGTAACAAATGAGAATGATGAGTAATAAGGCAGAAGTACTGGGTGCTATAAATTAAGCCCAGGGAGACATTGGGATAATTTTGCCTATGCATTATCTTAAATATTCCTGAATCCTTCAATGGTGCATAGCTTATTGTCTTCTGTTCTCCCAACAACATTTTTCACTCTCACTCAGTTTGTTTCTCTGCACCTTTTCAAAGTGCAGATGCCAAAATTGGAACACAGTACTGTAAATGGAGTCCATTTGTGTGCTTTTTTTCTCTTACAAGTTAAATTGAGAATAGAAACAAATCTTGCTTTTCTTAAACTAATGTTTTTGTTTTGTTGTTTTGCATTATTGGGAATCATTAAACACTGAATGAATTCTGCATCAGAATAGTATAATGAAAAACTAGCTTGTGGAGACACTGTTTCCAGTTTTAATTTGAAAATAATCCATCAAGCATGATTTACATTATTGCAAATTCATGTAATGCTGCTCAGCATTAAAATTGAGGTGTGAGCCTTTGCTTTCTACATTTCTTTGCCTTTGAATGTGTTCAATGATGCATCTGTTCTCAGTTGTTCATGGGCAAAGCAGGCTTGGCATATTGGAATGGTGATGGATAGATTTAATGAAGGGCCTTATTTTCCCCTTAAAATATGAAGTGCTATTAGTGCAAATGTATATAGTACTTTTTGTGATGCTTTTGTTATGATTAAGTTGAATGGGCCATAAGTCAGTTAGAAACACCCTAACTCTAATGCAATGTCTTTAAGACAAAATCATTTCTTTTTGTAGAAAAGGCAGTACAGGCATGGATTTAGAGAAGGATGAGTACGCCTGTTTTAAGAGTTTTGCATTCATTTCCGGCCCAATGGAATGCTGGACAGCCTCTGTAGTGTGGATGTAAATTCTTTGGCATCAATCCACTCATTCATTCACCTCCACCAGTATATTCAATTGTGTGTTCTTAGAAATGATGATAGTTATAACATTTTTTGTATATCCTCCTACTGGCCTCTTGGTTTGCATTCATTGAGAATAGCTCCAGGCTCTCTTTCCACTCCTAATAGGCATCTGCACTAAATATGATCAATTAGGGCCAAAGTGCTTTGGTGGCAGAATTCCAAGAGGCAGAATGAGCTTAACCATCAGGTGTGTCTAGACGCCAGATAGATATATGTGGTTTTTTTATAAAACTCTTCCATTTGATTCTTGCTCGATGGAGACCGAAGATCACTATGGCTTGACCAATGTATTGGGGAGATGGTTTTATTCATGTTTAAATTTTACTTGGAGAGACTTTAAAGCAGAGTTTATAAACTCAAATGCTACAGAGACTGGGCATAAAACTCCAAGTGGGCCAGGTATAAATTAACAGGTAGAGAGTGAGATTAGAAATGTCAAGTCTTCTTTAAGTTAATGTAAATGATGATTTGTAAAATGCTATGCAGGCCCACAAAACCTTTTGGAGTCAGAGGCAGCTGTTTTGCAACCCCCACTTCAAAGAGTGGTAGATGCTAGGGAAATTTGAAGCTTATAATAGCTTTTAAGAAGTTGAAGTGCTCTTGGAAAATGGCAGGTAGCTATTTGGGTAGGTCAAGAGCACTTCCCTCTCATCTCTACCTTTCTACATCAGTGCCTCTCATGAAACTTCTCTCCTCTTCCTACCTCAGTGACTTTCCAGTGTACAAGGACTTCCCCTGAGGTTGTAAGTAATAGGTGTCCAGGACCACAAGAGCCTCCCACACTCGAATCAAATCTACATGGTCCGTGCTTATAACATTTTTGGAATGCCAAGTCCAGTGTACATGTTTAGTCAATTTTTCAGTCCAGAAAAGTGTAGGAAACTAATAGATAACATTAAGATCACTTATTTTTGTTTGAGAATGGTTCTTATATTACAATTTTGTTTGATGTGCTTGGAATTCAGTGTCTACCTATTTTACATCACCTACCACAATCTCCCCTAGGGCAAGGCATTGCAGCCACATGGGACCAGAGCTTGCTGTAAAGCTCATTTTGGGTTGAACAAGGTTTCCCCAGTTATTAATGTTGTGATATTGAACAAGTCCCCTACCCTTTGCTTTTACATCTATAAAATGAGGCTAATAATTGGAGTTAGTGGGAGATTTTAAAATGATCACAAATACTGAGCATAGCACCTAAGATCTAATGAAAATACTCTATAAATAATGGTGATAATGATCCTACCTTTACCTTCACTAATTGTGTATATATCTGTCTCTTCCAGATAAATGGTAATGAATTATTTGAGGGTAGGACAAGTATCTCTTTCCTGTGCATATTTTACAGAGTGCCTTATACATGGCTAGATAGTACATTTGTTGAATTATTAGATTTATAATAAGACTTGCCTAATTTCATTTTCTTGCTCACCTGCTCAGCCTTCTTTCCTAATTTCATTCCATTGAGGAAAATAGATACCTTCAGAGGGCATAATTAAGCAGAATGGATAATATCATCAAAAACTTGTTAGCAAGATGTGATTGTCTAAATAAATTAGCTTCTCCCACCTCAAATCCCTTTTGTTAAGGGAAGAATGGATGGGTCTTTTCTTGAAAACCCTGAAGTAAATTATTGGAAAAATGTTGGATTACAAGGCTCCAGTGGATGATCTACATAAAAGTTAAAAGCATGGGTATGAATTTCAGCTCTGTTTCTTACTGGTTAAGAGCTCAGTTTTGGTGTTTTTTTTTTTCATCTATACAATGGTGATAATATTGCCAGACATTAGGTAGATGTGAGGATTAAATTAGATAACTTTTGTAAGACACTCTTCCTGGACAGCTTTTTAATTACTAAAATATCTGCTGCTCTTATTGTTATCATTATCACTGGTATTATTAAAATGCCGGGTGGCAAGTGAACTTCTGGGTCTATACAAAAAAGCCCAAGTGTTAGTGTGTATGTGTGCATGTACAGACACCTCTGACTGTAAGTCACTTGCTTCACCCCAGTTTGAAATATTGTATTGTACATTGTAACAGACATAAAAAAGCGTGTGTGTGTGTGTGTGTGTGTGTGTGTGTGTGTGTGTGTGTGTTCAATGAAAGGTACTTTCTTTTCATTCAAAAATAAAAAATGAAGACATTTGAAAGTTACTCAAAAACTTTCTTGCTCTTTACCAACTAGTTTATTTTATAAGTTGAAATTTGCTAATATCCATTATAAATAATTCCTAAAATAAAAAAGAAACAATTTTATCAGACCAGTTACTTATATCTTTGCAGTTTGAATTAACGTCAAGTGGTGCAGTTAAGATTTCCATTGATATTAAAATGCTACATTAATCAGGTTTTGAATTATAAATAATTATGTAAAATAGAATTAGATGGAGAAGAAAAAGGAGGACTAGAACCAAGGAGTTGAATAAAATAATATCTAATTATAACTTTTGCAGATTCTAATTTTGCTCCCCTAAAACTTACCAATTGGCAAAACGCATCATCAAAACTAAAATAATGGTACTTCATACTCATTCCCCGAAACTGAATTTTCAAAGAAAAGCTATAGAGTAAACTTTCTCTGTGAAATGTGTGAAAATTCTGTCTTTATTTACATAGTCAGATAAAAATTGTTGAATCCACTGGTGTTCTAGCCACTTCAGCCCGGACCGAATTAGAGCCAAGCACAGTCAAGGTGAGGGTGGGTATCCTCCCAGCAGAATCTGTTTACCTCAGTTTCTTCTTCTCAAGCATATCCGACTGGAGGTTCGGAACTATAAAGGCTGCAATATTATTATTAAGTGCCTACTGTGAGCCAGACCAGCCACATCCAGGGTTCCTGGAGATAACAGTGAGAGACAGAATTTCTGCCATCAGAATTTCACACAGTAGTAGAAGGAAACAGACAATAAACACATAAGTAAATAGGGGAGTAAGTACTTTTATATGAACAAATTATTTGACATTCAATAAAAGCTAGAAAGAAGATAAAAAGAGAGGAGTGTGATGGAGAATGACTGGGAAGGGGCTCACTCCAGCTAGAGAGTAAAGGAAGATATGTGCATGTAAAATTTGAATTGAGACCTGAAAGAATTGAAGGTGGCACCCATGTGAAGCTATGAGAGAAGAGTACTTTGAAGTTAAAAGAAGAGCAAATGTTAAGACCCTGAAATAGAAAATAGATATCTTT